TAAAACTACATATTTTCGTATTCAGAATAACTTAATGTAAAGGTTACTACTCTTCTTTCTATTATGCTCCACTAATGAGGCTATTTAGAGAAGTTGAATATATTGTTTGAAGTGAATTTTTTAATATGCTGTCATTGATTAATAATTAGACAGACTGAACTCTAGTTTTTGCTTTTATTGTTAACTTTCTCTTTGATTATGAATCTGTCATTTCCCTCATCTTTGCAGAGGGGTTAGTTACATAGTTTCTCAACTATATCTTTTGAGGAATTAAAATAATCAATATGAAAATGATTTGATAAAACCATAAAGCTCCACACTAGTAGGTATTATTCACAAATGATGAAGTCTCCTCCTGAGATTCTTGTTTTATTCATTCGTCAACTATTTACTGAATGTTATTTCATTCTAGGCACTACACTAGGCTCATGAAGTTACAGTTACTTTTCATATAACCTGGCGTTTGTTTAATTGGTTTTTAAACTTTATAACAGGCGACATTTTTCGTTTATATCTTGCTTTCACCTCCATAAATGCATGTAATATTTTTTAATGTTTTTTAAAAATATAGTTTAGTTTTTTAATATTTTTAATATCATTTGAATAATGTTTTGACTATTGTTTGAATATGCAGTAAGGTCATAAGGTAAATGACCTTATATACTCTTATGTACTTACATGTAAGTATATACTGTTATATACTCTTTGGTATATAAGATTTTTTCTATTCCATTATTCTGGTTTGTAAGTTTTCTTTCACAAATGTAATGTACTGAAATGTAAATAGCTTTTTGATCATCCTGAGCTGTCTGAAGAGAGAATGTCTGTGGGGATCTTCGGCATCAGTGAAGAATCTGTCTCCACGTCAGTGGAGTTTTTCCCAAGTAAATGTGGAGCTAAGGGAACCCCCACAGAAAACCGCGTTTGTCAGAATGGCTGCTGTGAGCGTGTCCTGTGAGTCAGGGGTTAGGACGGCTCAGACGACGACCGCGGGGTGAGGCTGAGTCCCAGGCCCGTTCTGGCCCCTCTGGCCGGCGGGGCCTTGCGGCTCACCTGGCCTCGGGCACCTCAGCGCCGCTGACTGTCCAGTGAGGGGCGACATGCTGTGTCTTGTAGGTCTCCAGCCTTCGGGCTGAGCTCGGCACGTAGGAAGCGCTCTGGGTGCTGCCTCCAGCGTCCCTCTCCCCAAGGCCTCTTCCTTCCGTGTTGCCCTGGGTGCAGTCCTAGGGGGAAGCCCGCCTGGTCCTAGCGCTCTGTTTATAGTAGGTGTTGGTTAGCTTGCCTCAAAAACGGGACCGAGAGGACACTGTTGCCTTAACATGACTCAGACCATTTCTACAGAAGGAGTGAGCGAATTTTAAACAGGCTCCTCTTCATTAGAATCTTCAAGGACAGAATCACACTTACAGTGGAATTCTAGTTCTTCATAAAATGATTCCCGATTTGACATGAACAAGCAGATGTTTCTCCTTCCCGTTTTCTCTCAGCCACGATAGATCATAGTCTCTCATTTGATTGGCAGGTAACATATGAGTGCTCTGTCTTCATGAGGTGAAGGTTGTTCTTTGTATATAGAGACATGAGATAATTGCCTGTAGCCCCAGGTCGTGGGGGCTGAGTGTTGTAATGAGGACTAGGAAGCTGGCTTGGTGACAGGCAGATCAGAAGCCAATGCAAATGTACGAGAGATTGGGGGGAATAGTTCTGAGCTTCCTATGCAGTTTCTTCCAAGGTAAAATAGAAATTAAGTACTCCCCCTTTTCAGGAATATTACTCTTTTCTTTTGTTAGTATGGATGAAATATTATTTTTTAATAAGTACGATAGTTTCATATGAAACCTGTTGGTTGCATTCATAATTGACAGCTTTAATAAGTCTCATGTTTGGAGATACTGACAGTGTAACAAATGTCTTACTGCTGAACACAGTGATGACAGTGAAAACTTAGTTCGTTTGCAGTGGTGTCCTTACTTCCCTCGGAAGTGTGATTCGTGTATGACCATGCGTTCTCCGTGCTCTGTTTGGCACACACATAGATAAGAGTGTGTGAGTCCGGTAACTGTGTGCGATGCTCCTGGACATGCTGTGAATCTCTCATTATGTTAAAGAATTGTTTCCTTAGTGCAGCGTTATACTCATTATATACTCCACACATTTAGCTTTTGAATAGATTCCTGGCATGATAATTACATAATCATTTGGTACAGTAGAAACATCATTATGGTCAAATACTAATTAGCTACTAACACAAAACAGAACATAGTTCACAGCATATTATAAAAATTGATTTAATACCGTACAAAATGAAATATATGGTTAAAATTATTATTTGCTTTCAATGTGGATCACTTGTTTCTTATCAGAAAGAATCAGTGTTTTGGATGCTTGCTGCCTAAGTTTGTTTCTTGGATGCATTGTATTTTATTATCAGAGCCTTTATGACCAGCTCTGCATAGTGGAGCTTCCAGAGATTTGCAGTGGAAATTCTAGACTCCATTCCTAGGTCTTCCTTAGACCTTCTACAGAATTAGGAGGCTGGCCTAAGCCTTCAGCCTACACACACAGACTACACAGAGCTCTTCTCATACTGGCGCTCAATAAGCCTCTGGATGCATGAGGTTCAGTAGTAAGCCCCTGGTTTCTGGGATGCTGGTTTGCACACCTGATGCTGACTGACTGATCCCCCACCGCCTTCCTGCGCTCTCGCGCCTGAGGGAGGTAGCGCAGTCTGGTTGGTAACCCTGGAGCCCTGGTGTTCCTGCCTCTCCCGCGGGAACGTGGCTGAACCGTCAGGGGAAACCTCAGCGCCGGCAGAGCATCGCGGGCGGGTGCACGTCTGCCCAGCACACCTCTGGGGGCGGTGCCCTCCCTCCCCCTGCCTCGTGGGTACAGTGGGCTTTGCTCGAGGGCTTCGGGGTCCAGCGCCTTTTGTAGATTGCTTGTTTTGTTTTGTCTTGTTTTTGTCTGCATGCTTCCGGTGCTCCTTTCTCAAATACACCTGGGATCTAAGTGAACGCACATGATGTTAGCACTCGTCACCCTGAGGTACACTGCACGCTCGTGGAGCTGAGACGTCCTCATGCTGTTCCCTTCGGTATACTACAGTGCTGTCTTACTCAAAAGTGCTTCCCCTGATAGGGCACGAGTCAAGTGTTTTACGGATTTTGTGCTGCGTCCTCCTTTTCCTTTATCCTTCACTTCCGTTTTGGTCGCTGTATTTATTTTATTTCCTAATGAACCATTTGCAATGCAGCTGAAATATGCAGGACATGTGCAAGATGAAGGAGGGCTGCTCAACTCGGTCATGCACTGACTGGGCAGTGGTCGCTGGACCCTGTCTGAGAGCGATGGGTAAGAGCGAGGCGTGGCTGGCTCCTCACTCTGTGTTCCCGAAGCCACAGGAGTGGGTAGGAACACAAAGTGCATTCCGGTACATGAAAGTATAGGAGATACCATGAAAGGATTCACTGATGAATCAGTTATATTGTTAGTCAAGTATCGTCTTTGAAATACTGTTTCTTTTATTTGAAGATAATATGTTGTAAATGTATTATAAAGTAAAATCATAGGTCTTAAAAAGAATGCATAATTCCTGAAGTCTGTGACATGATCTAGAACGTTTCTACTCACAGGCAAAGCCCATGAAGTGGTGAGGACCTAATGCTACTGAGGAAACCAAGGCTGTTAAGGGCTTCAACTGACAATGGTCTAATCAAAGAAGTGAGAGAGAGCTTTAGGAAAAATGATTAAGGCCTTGAATATTCTTAACAAATACACTTATGTTTAAAGCCATCTTGTAAAAATTAAATGTTACATGATGGATGTGTGCTAATATAAAGTATTGTTGGAAAAATTTTGTCAAAACCCCACTTCATTCTAAGAACTGCACTTATTTGCAAATGCTGCCTAAACTTATTTTAATAGTCTTTATTTCCCTTTTCTAGCTAAGTTCCAATCGGTTTTTTACCATTATTTATTATAAGATTTCAGCCTTTTATTTTAAGTGAATTTGCTTCAAATGATCTTTCTTCTGGGACCAAATTTCTGGGATAATAGGGACCCCTGTTTATAAAATACATGTGTGACTGCATGTATAGCCATATATTTCACTGTATGTTAGTCATCTAAAATGAATGTCAGAATTTTAATTCAAATTAATTGTGACTAAAATGCAAATTGAAACTCCAATACTTTGGTCACCTGATGCGAAGAGCTGACTCATTTGAAAAGACCCTGATGCTGGGAAAGATTGAGGGCAGGAGGAGAAGGGGACGAGGATGATATGGTTGGATGGCATCACTGACTTGATGGACATGGGTTTGGGTGGACTCCGGGAGTTGGTGATGGACAGGGAGGCCTGGTGTGCTGCAGTTCATGGGGTCGCAGAGTCAGACACAATTGAGCAACTGAACTGAACTGAGAAATGCAAATATTAAGGGATTCCCTTGTGGCTCAGCTGGTAAAGAATCCACCTGCAATGCGGGAGATCTGAGTTTGATCCCTGGCTGGAGAAGGGAAAGGATACCCACTCCAGTATTCTGGCCTGGAAAATTCCATGGACTGTATAGTCCATGAGGTCGCAAAAAGTTGGACACGACTGAGCGACTTTCACTTTCAAAATGCAAACAGGCAGTTTATGTATTTTCTTATTCAGATTAGGCAAGGATCAGGATATTGTATAGGGCTGCTTTTTTAGATTAATAAAACTATATGTACATAAGTCATTTTATAGGACATAGAAATAACAATAATGGTTCTATTATTGACTTCCATTTGTATAACATTTACTCTTAGAAAGTGAATCATTGTTTCATTACCCTTTGTACCATGTGGTATTTGTTATGATGAAAATTGTCTGTTCTCTGAAAGTTGTACTGGAATGTTTCTGAAAATTCTTCTTGTGTTGGCTTTGTGCTTATCTGTGAGTTGAAATCTTACGAATAGTGTGGCAAAAGGACAAACATTTTGAGACCCCACTAGTAAAGCAGCTGTTTCTACAGGTATCTCGTGGTCTATAACCCTTCAGAACAAGCTCGGAGCTCCGTGGTCTCAGTCTGGGTGAGCTCATCCGCAGCGCAGGTGTCCTCTGCTTCAGGAAAGCCTGTGGAGATTCAAACGAGTGCCGTGTGGGACACAGCAAATAGCGTCTCACAGACAGCCTACGAGGTATGTGCGCTCCGTGGAGCCGAAGCAGGCGTCCTGACAGAGGCACGGCCAGTGTATAGTTTGTGATGTCGTGAGGCTGCACAGTCATGCCTGACTCTTCTGGGACCCCATGGACGGTAGCCCGCCAGGCTCCTCTGTCCATGGGACTCTCCAGGCAAGAGCACCGGAGTGGGCTGTCATTTCCTCCTGCAGGGGATCTTCCCGACCCAGAATCGAACCCAGGTCTCCTGCACTGGCAGGCGAACACTTCACCGCTGAGCCACCAGGGCAGCCCCACTGGCCAGTGGAAAGAGATCCTTTGTTTTCCAAAACATTCATGTCTTTGTTAGTATGTATACTGCGTGTTATTTTTAGTGCATTATGAGTTTGTATATTGTTCGTTTTTGTAAGTGTGTATATTGTAACTCTTTCCTCATGTCATGAAGTAATCATTCCTTATAAAATTTTGAACTTTTTTGCCTAACTCAATTTAATGAGTTGTAAGTATTGAAAATGAAGATAAATACCTCCTTCTAAATAACTGGATACTTTCAACTTTTCATTGCAAAGATGACAGTAATATCCCAAGAAAGAAAGACTTTTTAAATAAATAAGATGCTTCTTTTCTGAGATATAATTTTGAAAAAAATGTCTGGGTTCAAGTAATAGAGGTTTTGGGGGAAATATCTTGAAGTAAGCAGTATTAAATCAAACCCCCATATCACTGGAAATAATGGACTTCTAGAATTTGGAGTACAACTTAAATTGTATTTCTGAAGACACAGAGAAAAACTAGGGAATCTAAAAGAGAATTAAAAGCCATTGCTGGCTGCGCTTATAAATTTATTATCCTTTAGAAAGAAAGGAAACTGTGATACAGGTTTTGATCAAATTTTACAGGAAACCCCTCATATCGAGATTGGAGCAGACGCTCCTGAAAGGTTGGGTCATGTCCCTCGGCGGGTGCCTCCTCCGTACCTGTTCAGCGTCTGCTGGATCCCCCAGGCGTTGATGTCCGGTATTGATCGGACTAATATGCTTGATGTTTACATTGTTACATTTATTATTTTTTATTTTTAACGTACTGAATTATCATAGTATTGTAAAATGATTCCTAAAATCACTGTCACAGTAAACCCTTACCATCATGGACAACTTCCATGAGCATCCATTAAGAATACTGTAGGACAATTGAGAATGGTCACATAATTTCATATATTGAATAAAAACCTTAATGTCTTTGATAGTCCTTCCCACTTGAATTTACTAGGTTCCCTAGCTAAACAGAAATGTGAATACTCCACCCATAAGTTATAAAACATAGAATAGTATTATATGCTTTCTTAAATATAGTAGTTTCTTGTTTTTACTAGAAGTATAAATAGTTTCCTTTCAGTAGCTTGCATTTCTCTTTAATAACTTCTCTCCTTTATCTTTAAAGGTATCTTTTCTAGCAGAGATGCCACCATTGGGACTGAAAGTTTATAAAATTCTGGAAACATCAAGTTCAAGTCCACATTTAGCCAAATATGACCTATATAATGGTAATATAGCAAATGAAGGAATTTTTAACATGAATAATATAAAAAGTTCTCAAGAAGCTATAACTCTAGAGAACTCCTTTATTAAGCTGCGCTTTGGTCAGTCTGGGCTTATGGAGGTATGTTCCAAATAGTTCTAAAATTTATAGAAGGCTTGTCATTTTTGTTATAACATGTGCAGATTACCTGTGTAAAGTGAAAAACGTGGACACAGATATTGTAGAGGAAAGGATGGAGAGGTACATGTGCCTTCTCCTGTGGTCCACAGTGCCCACTGCTGCTCACAGCTGTGGTCTATGATGCTGCTGGCCGTGGACTGCTTGTTACTAGTCCACAGATAAGTGTGCAATTGGCAGCTATTTAGAAATGTTTATGGGAACTTTGAAAGTAACTAGACTGAGTAGATTTATGCCTATTAAATCTAATAATAAAAAAATGAGTTTATATTTGGCATATCACTTTAATTTTCTTTTTAATTAATTCACTTTCATTGTGCTTCACCAAAATGCTGTTCCATGCATAGTGGAAATAAAAATAAATACACTCCTTTACTGCAGAAAGTCTGAGAAGTACTAGTCTAATCTCTAGTATATCTCTTTCTTTGGTGAAATGTGTTCTTTTTGTTCTATTGTGGAGGTTTGTTAAGTATAAAATTTGGAGTGTTCATCCAAGAATTGTGAATGTTACAGGCTGAATGTTAATCACTTTTAAATCTATCACAAGGTAATTTTTTGAAAATAGACATATGCATGTAGCTAGATACAGTAAGTTTATGTCTTAATACTGACTTACACTAAATTTTTTTTTTTTCAATCCTTAGGAAATGATAAATAAAGGAGATGGTAAAAGTCTTGAGGTGAAAGTACAGTTTTCATGGTATGGAACCACAAGTAAAAAGGATAAAAGTGGTGCCTACCTCTTCTTACCTGACGGGGAAGCCAAGGTAAGAGCTGATGCTGGGAGCAGTGAATAAGCACTTATTGAAAGAGTGGTGAGGAGCATAATAAATGCATCTCATTATTATGGTCATCTGTTAGGAATAGATGAATTAGCTCCACTGTTATATATCATTATTGACACTTAGCAACTTCTAGTTGAGTATTAGGTGAACAATAGTTTCTGTGTTGAAATTCAGTAAGGAAGTGCTCCACATGGAAAGAAGCTAGGTTTGATTTAGGGTTCGAGTGCTGCTGGGCTGTTGTGTGCCTGGGTGGCATGGCATAGACAGAGACACAAAATTCCTAGCCATGTGGGAAAGATAGATTGACCACTGGGCAATTTTTCTCCTTAACATTTAGCACTTTAAAAAACAAACAAAAAAAAGTGTTCTCCGACCTTGACTGCACATTTGATGCAGAAAACTGAAGAAAACAATGATATTTGCTGATTGTTCCACAAGCCTGTGAAAACCTTTGCCAATGTTGTTGTATTTTTACTGTTTATTTTATTCTGTGCATATCATTTCCCCCCATTTTAAAGTTTTACCTTCCTATGTGAATATATTTTGTTTTTCATTGTGACAATGCTCACAATCTGATATGCTCTCGGAAAATACAATACACACTTTTGTGATTAAAAACTTTAGCTGTAAGATGAACGAGGTCTGAGTCTGATGTGTTATATGGTAACTATAGTTGATAGTACTCTGTTGGATTATTGATATTTGCTAAAAGAGTAGAACTTAAGTGTTCTCACATTTAAAAAGTGTGTCTGTGTGTGTATTATATATATGTGGAAGTAAAGAATTTACTGTGGTTGCATATGTACATTTTACATTTTCTCCCAATACTTTATTACTGTAATATTGTGATAAGCTTTCTTTGTACAGTGCTAATTATTTCCTGAGAATAATTTTCTAGAAGAGTCATTTTATGTGTTTGGAGCCTTTTAAGGCTTTTGACATATAGATACTACTTATCTTCCTTGTCTCTCTAGAAAGATACATATTCATTCTGCAGCTGTGTGTTTTTGAGGGTAGCTATCTAGCATACTACTCTAAACTCTGAGAATTAGCTATATTAAATACTTAACCTATAACTAGTAAATGAAAAATACTTTACTGTTATGATTTTTGTGATTATTAGTAAGGTTGAACTTTATAATGCTTTTATTTATCTTTAATAATTCTTTTGTGAGTGTCCTATTTAAGTTCCTGGCCATTTTTCTATTGATATGACTTGTGGATCTGTAAAGATTTTTTATATATTATAAAACTAATCCTTTTTCCTATTTATTGAAAAATATGCCCTCAGTGTATCACTGAGTTTGTTATTTTATTTTTCTGTTATAGTAGTTTTTAATTTTTGTGTAGTCAATTTTGTATTTTTTTCTTTAGAGTTTCTTCCTTTGCTTTTACACTTACACCAACTTTCTCCACTTTAAGATAAATTCAGTATTCTCCATGTTTTGTTGCCAAGGGTCCTGTCTCCTTAAAAAGTTACTTTTGCTCTAGAAAAGCCTGCTAACCAAAATCAACGATAGGTGTTAAGGGATTGTTTAGATCATGCTCAGAATTCTAGTTACTTGTTGTTTCTGTTTTTCTAAAGCATTGAGGAATTAAAGGTAAGCTATAGATCATAGTAGACCTTTCAGGATGGGCAGTGGACCCTCAATATAAGCTGCATCAGTGTTTTCTCACTTCACAGCTTTTGTCATTACACAGGCATTTTGTTTTGACTTAAAAATAGCTTGCTATAGAATATTATACACAATTGTAATTACTATTTTATTTTTCTAAATTATTTTATGTTTAAATAACTCTAATATTAGATAGTAGGAAAAAGAGAATCATCATATGTTTACAAAGAAGAAATAAAAGGGCACCAGGGAAAGAGACAGCTGGGTGAGCCAGAACACGGAGGGAGCCCAGCCGGCACCGCTCGGCTTCCCATCCTCCTCCATGGCTTTCTAGCCGTGTGGCAGTTAGCTACAAGAGCTTTGTTAACTGCAAAGCGTTATATTAAAGTCAGAATATTTTTCTCTAACCAAAGAGGAAAATATGGAAGAAAATTACACAGTACTGAAAATCTTGTGCTACATTGCAAACTAGCTTTGTATGCTGTTGTTGAGCCTTCTAAGATGTGTAATACTTAAAATTCTTTGTAAGAGCTTTAGATTTCATTTCTCTGCCATATAAGTCACATGTTTTATTCCCATAGTTTCTTGATTCTAGATTCTAAATAATGAAAACTAAACCAGTGGTTGCCATAGTTTTTCCAGGCTTGTAAATTGGCTTTATATTCGCGCAGTTCTTTCGAGTAGAAGGGCGGTGTGTTTCATAGAGCAGTAACCCTGACTGACTAAGCTGTGATTCTGGATCCTGCTTCCAGTTTGTTTGAGATGAATCGCTGTGGTCCTTCTAGCCACATGCTCCTGACTCTGCACATCAGGGGACCGGGGTCATAATGTTTGCCTGGGCAGCGTCACTGCTGTAGAAGAATTGCTCGTGCTCCTAGGTGACACAGGAACCACGTAGAAAAACTTTAATTGGAAATCTTTATGGCAGGGAGAAATGTTTGTAGATCTTCTACACCAATCGAGTTGTAACACTTTTATTTTCTATTTTCAGCAGTTTTTGTCTAATGTAAAACCATATATTCAATTTTTATAGCATGTGCATAATCTGATAGCTTATAAGGTTTGGTTTTCACTTAATATTACATATATCACATGATATGTATTTGCCAGTTTGGAAACTGTGATAAACATTCCTTGGAAAAATTAAAAGCCAAACATTTTTCTTAAAATTGTGATTTCCTCCTCAGCCTTACGTTTACACAACACCACCCTTTGTCATAGTGCAACGTGGAAGGTTTTATTCGGACGTGACTTGCTTTTTTGAACATGTTACCCACAGAGTTCGACTGTACAACATACATGGTAAGAAAACCGAGAAATGCAGTTGTGAAAAAAATGTATACTGATTCTTGAATTCTTGCTTTTTCTTGTGTCAGTTTTAATAATTTAGCAATTGGTTTTTGAAGATGACAGAACTTGACATCATACTCATTTGACTTTAAATGGTGGTATTTACCCTTCAACATTCAGAAATGGTCAAACACTTAACTCCCTACGTATACATGTTTTGTTTTTGTCTTTTTTCTTTTGTATATCTTCTCTTTCTTGGGGCTTCCCTGGTGGCTCAGAGGGAGAAGTGTCTGCTTGCAGTGCGGGAGACCTGGGTTCGATCCCTGGGTCAGGAAGGTCCCCTGGAGAAGGAAATGGCAACCCACTCCAATGTTCTTGCCTGGAGAACCCCATGGACAGAGGAGCCTGGTGGGCTACAGTCCGTGGGGTCACAGAGTCGGACATGACCGAGCAACTTCACTTTCACTTTCTCTTTCTTACTGCAGTGTTTGTCATAAGCCATGAGCTCTTTTCTCAGATCAAAAAGCAGTATAGTATTTTTTTATTTTAGGAAATGGAAATTATATCAAAGGTGGCTTTCAATTAATGGATCCCTGACTACCTTTCACACACACAACCTGCCTCAAATATAGAATTTATTGCTATAGTGAACATTATTAGAATTTAACTTTAGAAGAAAAATATTCTATATTCATTCTGTTTGTTTACAACTCATTATCTTGTAGCATATAAAATCAGGCAGTTTATTACTTTTAGCACAGTATTGAAGCAGCTTCTTTGTTAATCAAGTGGTAAGAAGTAGGCCTTTGATCTGTTTGGAAACTGAACTGTGACCAATAGCACTGGTTTTTCCATACAATAAGACTGGACCTACGGTTCCCAGTCTCAGAATTGTATAGTTAGGTTGGTTGATTTTTAATTCACTGTTTTTAGCATGGAGTACCTTTCCAACCACAGTTTTAATCCTAGTAACCAGACCATTTACTGTTGTATCAAATCTCTTAGTAAAGGACCTCATAAAAATGCCACTTTAAATGTTTTGTTGCTGTAAGCTAAGATGAAAAAATTAGAAAAAGAAAATATTCTTTCCCTGAACCTGTAGACAGGTAGACAAAAAGTGTTTCAAAACAAGTAATAAAATACCTGGGCAGGCACTGATTACTTTGTGGGCATCATGGGGAAGCAAAGGCCACTCTGGGCTTCCGTGGTGGCTCACCAGTAAAGCATCTGCCTGTCAGTGCAGGAGATGCGGGACCCATCCCAGAGCTGGGACGGTCCTCTGAAGGAAATGGCAACCCCGTCTGGTGTTCTTGCCTGGGAAAGCCCATGGACAGAGGAGCCTGGCCGTCTGCAGTCCACGGGGTTGCAAAAGAGTCAGACACTAATTCACAACTAAACAATAACAGAAGCCTACTGTGTTCAGGGAATTTCTTATTCAGCTAAGTTCAGTTTTCAGATTTCAGTGTCTAAATTTGACTTTGTTTTTAACTTTTTTTTTAACTTCAAACCTCATCGATGCAAAAATCTAACATCAGCTCAAGTTTATCTCACCCACGGAGACATCGAGAGGCAATTTGAGGTCTGGGTATTTATTTTTTAATTATTATTTTTGTTTTGCTAACACTCCAAGTACCCAGTTAGAATTTCAGGTATGAATAAACTTCATATATGTGACTACTTATATGATATATTTTCAGGGTAACCCATGGTTCATATGTTGAATTAAAAAGTGAAAGTTCTTCTAGATGGCAGGGAAAATCATACTAGACACTAACTTGGTGTCTTTTGCAATTATCTGCAAACAGTTTGAAAACTAGAAGAAAGTCTATAGTTTTGAAATAATCTTTTAAAGCTTTTAAGTCAGAAACACTATTTTTGGCCTTCCTTTTGTACCCTTGCATAGGTCATTGTTTAGCATTTGAGAGAGTCCTAAAATTCCGTCTTCAGCTATGGCCAAAGGTTTCATCTTACGGATATAAAATAGCATGATCACACAGAAGATGTGCATGTCTACTTTTAAATTTGCTTAAGACTTCTGTCTTTAACAGGAGGTTTTGCCCTGAATGCAGCGCGGGGCGCGCGTTGGCCCAGAGCTGCGTGAGCAGCCCGATGTGCTGCCGCTCCTCATCAGTGACTTTGAGGAACAGGCTCTGTCTCAGAGCGGGCTTCTGTGCAGGCTCAGGGTCAGTACTGGAGATGCAGGTCTGATCCCTGGGTCTGGAGGATCCCCTGGAGAAGGAAATGGCAGCCCACTGTGGTATTCTTGCCTGGGAAATCCCATGGACGGAGGAGCCTGGTGGGCTACCATCCATGGGGTCGCTCAGACACGACTGAGCAACTAAACAACAACGTGTCTCAGAGGAAATGCTGAAGTAGCTCATCAGAAAAGTCCAACTTCTGTATTCCAGCAGGGGTGTCTGCTTAACTGCTTTTGCTTTTGTTTAATTGCATTTGTTCACTAGTGCAGCTTCTGAGTTTTCTTCAGATGTCCACTGGATCTGGATCTCATATCAGAGGTGGTTTCTGTGAACTCGAAGGCCCTGTTCCCCTTCTGTGGCTGTAGCTTAGCTTGCTATCACGTTTCAGCAGCCAGCTCGGAAGTTATTATGCTCTGCCTTGGCCTGTTTGCTTATCCCAACAGATAGGCCTCCTCAGAACTACGTGCCTGTCTTTCCACCCCTCCTCCCCACTGAGCGGTCAGAAAGGCCCAGGGCGTAGTCGCCCCTTAAGCAGGAGCAGGGCAAGAGATGTCACTAACTCCCCACACACCTGCCCTGCGTAAGGCTGGCTCTGATTAGTCAGTTAAGAAATAGAGGTTGTTTTGAACTGGGCACTTAGAGTATTAGCATAACAAAAATAATTAAAAAATAAATATGCAGACCTCAGATTGCCTCTAGATGTCTCAGTGGATGGGATAAATTGAGCTGATGTTAGATTTTTGCAGCTTGAAAGCAGGAAGCTTCAGAAGTTTGTGTGAAATGACGGATAAGTTAGATAAAATGTGACTTTAAAGTGATTCTCCAGATGAGCTTTACTGTACTTGCTTGAACTGAAGCTGAAACCAGCATATGTAACTATTTTAAGTGACAGATCAATCTTCCTTTTTACTCTTTCGAGCCTAGAGCATTTTTTCCCCACCAAGACTGTGGAGAAAATGGGGATATTAGATCACCTGAAGCGCTTTCCTTCAAGCTGTATGCCCTCCCACGGTTGTATTTGAGGCACTCTGAACGTGCCCCAGTTGTGGGGGGAGGCTTTCCCGGGACCTCTGTTAGCTGTTTCCATCTGTCCTTGTTTCATATGCTGCTGTGAGGGCGCAGGGTGTCTGGATCCTGTCTTTGTGGGTTTTAATTGAATCACGCACCAGGCCTGTGACTGAGATGTGAAATCTTCAGGGTGCTTGCCTCTCTAGGTGTTCCCAATACCTGAAGAGCGTTTGGTTATGTGACGCTCAAGTGTCTGTACTAAGAAATGCTTCTAAACTTCAGCCTCGTGTAGGACTCCTTGTAAGCTAAGCTTCTGAGTTGAACTGAGGCTTTTGAGTAATTGATCAGAATGTATATACACAGATGACCTGAAGTTTGGTGCTACGAATATTTCAGCCGAATTCCATGGTTTTTAAAATTGACTTTGGTTGAAAATTTCTTAAGATAACACAAATATCTATTCTTGAATTTAACTTCTGGATCTATTTTCTGACATAGACTAATTTCCCCTCTTTAAATTGAGGATGCAGTTATTTGAATGAGTACTAATGACTAGAGTCTGTTGTTAGTACCAAGTTCAGAATCCAAGAACAAATGGGGGCTGAAGGGAAGGAAACTATTAATATTTTATGATTATATATTGTAACTATTTACTAAACCATTTAATCATACAAAAGATTGTCTTATCTCTCAGCAACAAGAGTAAAGAAACAGAAAATGAGTTAATACCGTGGATTGTCTTACTGAATTCAGTTCAGTTCAGTCACTCAGTCGTGTCTGACTCTTTGTCACCCCATGAACCATAGCACACCAGGCCTCCCTGTCCATCACAAACTCCCGGAGTTTACTCAAACCCATGTCCATTGAGTTGGTGATGCCATCCAGCAATCTCATCCTCTGTCCTTTCCTTCTCCTCCCAACTTCAATCTTTCCCAGCATCAGGGTCTTTTCCAGTGAGTCAGCTCTTTGGATCAGGTGGCCAAAGTATTGGAGTTTCAGCTTCAACATCAGTCCTTCCAGTGAACACCCAGGACTGATCTCCCCTAGGATGGACTGGTTGGATCTCCTTGCAGTCCAAGGGACTATCAAGAATCTTCTCCAACACCACAGTTCAAAAGCATCAGTTCTTCCATGGTCAGCTTTCTTTATAGTCCAACTCTCACATCCATACATGACCACTAGAAAAACCATAGCCTTGACTAGACGGACCTTTGTTGACAAAGTAATGTCTCTGCTTTTTAATATGCTATCTAGGTTGGTCATAACTTTCCTTCCAAGGAGTCATCATCTTTTAATTTCATGGCTGCAGTCACCATCTGCAGTGATTTTGGAGCCCAGAAAAATAAAGTCTGACACTGTTCCCACTGTTTCCCCATCTATTTCCCATGAAGAGATGGGACTGGATGCCATGATCTTAGTTTTCTGAATATTGAGCTTTAAGCCAACTTTTTCACTCTTCTCTTTCACTTCCATCAAGAGGCTCTTTAGTTCTTCTTCACTTTCTGCCATAAGGGAGGTGTCGTCTGCATATCTGAGATTATTGATATTTCTTCCAGCAATCTTGATTCCAGCTTGTGCTTCTTCCAGCCCAGCGTTTCTCATGCTGTACTCTGCATATAAGTTAAATAAGCAGGGTGACAATATACAGCCTTGACGTACTCCTTTTCCTATTTGAAACAAGTCTGTTATTCCATGTCCAGTTCTAACTGTTACTTCCTAACCTTCATACAGATTTCTCCGGAGGCAGGTCAGGTGGTCTGGTATTCCCATCTTTTTTAGAATTTTCCACAGTTTATTGTGATCCAC